CTCTTCCTCTTCAGCATCTCCGGTGGCCCCCTTTCTTCACCTATATCGTGTCCACGCTCGATACCACCCTGCTCTTGGGTGCCTTGCCCCTCTTCAGAGGTCATAGTTGGTTCTCTGTCTGTTGCAGCTGATCTCCATTCTGCTGGGTTCTACCAGGCTCCAGTCTTTGCTGGAGGTCTCAGCCATCCACAGTGACCTTGTGGACAGTGCCTCTGATTGAGGCTGTCTATATGACCCTGGGGCGACCACTTCCTGGGGTGCCCACCAGGGCTTCCTGGGAGGAGCTTCTGTGAGCTCTTGCTCCTCCTGCTGTTCCTGGGACTCCACTTCTGGTCCCTCAGGTTGGAGTTTTGCCGGGCTTTTTAGCCTGGCTCCAGGCACCCGGCAAGCCATTTGGCCCTGGCATGCCTGAATAAAGCAGGTCCAAGCCAATGCGGGAGCCGTTCCTGGCTCCCTCCGGCTTGTCCACTTTTTTTCTCTTTGAAGGGTTGCCACAGCAGCTCCGCCTACCGTGATTTTGCTTTCACCGGCTCTGCTCTCTTGGGCCGTGTCCCACTGCCTCCCAGCTTCACCAGGTAAGTCTTTCTCACATAGACATTCAAGTGATTCAAGGCATAAAAAGGGATGAAGTGCAGATAGGCCAGGGTACAACTTTATTATTATGTTTTAAGTAGGCCCAGAACTCCCATAATGACTTGTAATGTGGAATGAACTCTTCAGGTTACTCAAAGGATATCATCCCAGACTTCCTCTACATGGTAATTCTGGGTGGTTCCTGGTACACTTTACACCTTGATTGTCCACACATTAACCCCTGAAATTGGTTTTATTATGCCGCTCAAAGTTACATCACTTCAGGTTATACCACTTTGATCTGTATTATCCAGCTAGTGTTACACTAAGGTATAACCACTCTAGGCTACATGTAAACATCTCACCTGCCCCCACCTATCCTCCTGGCCCAGACTGGACCTGATGCCCCTCCCTCACTCCTCCAATCCCTGCTCACTGCCCCCTACTCCGCCGACCTCTCTCCCCCTTCACTTATTTCTAGTTGCCTATATTGTCTGTTCTGGGGATCAGGCAAGGAAGGGTTAAACTACCTGCCTATACACCACTTGCTGATGTTCTCTGGGCCATAAGAGTTGCAGCCTGACAGCAGAGGCAGCTGGACAGGCCAGTTAATTCTTCCCTGCCTGCCCCCCTTGGACAGTCAGTATGGGCAGCCACAAGTAAGTAATGTCCCAAGGGTGGAGGGAGGGGCAGGCAGGATGCAGGGAGGAACCCTGAGGGGCAGATGGGAATCCTTGGGGGTGGAGGAGGAACTGGGAAGTGGGGGAGCCCCAGGGTGGGCAGGGAGGAAGCTCAGAATGGGAGTGGGGGGTGGGGGAAGGAATTCTTACCTTTCAGTTCTTCAGGCCCCTGCAGAGCTGAAGTGTGACTTCTCTACACTTCAGCGAGCACTAACACCCATCAATAATTTGTGCAGCTTACAGCGTAAGGTGCAACAAGGGCCTAAGAATGGACTTCAGACTGTGAAGACTTCAAGTCTCCTCTTCTCCCATAAGCACAAGGTCCAGCAGGAAGTCCTAGGTCTCCTTAACTTCTGGGAATCAGTCATTTGACTTTTACCCATGCTGGACTCCAGACACAAGTTGCAAAAAACTATATATTTTCATATAAACTACTGACTATTTATTCTAAATGCCACATGTTCATTTAACTGTGCCTCCATGACATGTAAGTAAGGCAAAAAACCACCAAGCTTCCCTTAAGTTTTTATCCCAATGGGAAAAATTCCTTCTGCATCCCAAGAAACAGGTAATTGGCCAGATCTATGGCATCCTAAAAGCACAGTTCCTTTATTATAGCTACAGGGAGAAAGGACAGAGGAATCACAGAGACCAAGGGTCTTGGAACACCTGGACAAACATTTATTGTTTTTATGGTATTAAAGCAAGGGCCAGTCAGGTTCCATTTCCCTCTGGGTCAGTAATGGAAGGAAGAGACCCACTGCAGGAGGAAGGACCCTTGAAAACATTTATTACCCACAGGTCAAACTGGTTTTCCAGTCAGTGAGATAGGTAGGGGAGTTTTTGTGGATGGTTAGCCCAACACACACGTACAGAAGATGAGAATGATATGGTAATGTGCTTTCTCACCTCTGTCCTTCAAAAAAGTATTTTCTGGGAATTCTTTGATGACTGTTTTGAACAAACAAAAGGAGCCTTTTCCATTTCCAGTACAGCTCTGGAGAAATTTGGTAAGAAGATGGCAGTGGTTTTCTGCTTTAAATCCCATTCTAGTGATCAGTAACAATGAAAAAACAGCTATGAAATCCAGTCTTGTTTACAGTGTATTTAAAGTGATCATGTAACAGGATACACAGCAAAGCATTTCATCTTTCATTTTAAGATTTTTTTCCCAGTATTCTACCAACTGCACTATTACATGGCCAGAATAGATAATGACAAAACAAAAGAAAAGAAGCCGGAATGGTAGAAAACTTCTTATTCAAATAAATGGTAATCTGTTTCAAAGTCATACAGTGTTACAATCTATAAGAGGCTCCTTACTTTTCCTTTGTAACTTTTATAAGGAAGTAATAGCAGAATGTACAGAGATTTTGACGTATTTCAGAATATGCAAATTAATGTGTAGATCAGCTGTAACTATTTGAAATAAAGGAGAAAAAATATAGCTGTTACTACCAAAAATTGCTGTTTGTGTTAAAAAGATAAATTTAAAAATCATACATTGTTAAGAAATACATTTTTCCATGGTATTTCTAATGCATCAGATTACTAAAAATGAAAGAATTTTTAAAATATTTTTTTCTCTTCATGTATATGGGTTGTTTACACCTACATTTCAACCAGCTTGGACAAACAGAATTGACTAGTCAGTTCCACTTCCTGGTTCTTGGACACTAGCCAAATACTTCAGTGCCATAGTTCCAAACACTGCAGAGGAATGTTTGACTCTAAGCAGGACAAAAAAGTCATCTTCACTGCTGTATTTCTTTAGCAAAAAAATCATTTAGCTTTAACTGAAGATTGAGTGTTGGGCTGTAAAACACCCTTTCTTTGTGGAGTTTTAGAATTCCTGTTTTCAGTCCTGAAAATGCAGACACGTTTCAGAAACTCAAAGGCCCTTTTTATGGGCAAACAGATGCTTTCTTCAGTCAGTTAACTTAATCAAGCTAGCTTGGTCTGATTGAAAAGCCCTTTTACTTTGTATTAAAATAAAGGCTTTAAAATAATTCATATTGGTTTTGCTGTAGCCTGTACTCCCCTTTTCACCTCTTCCAGGCTAGGTTTTAAAGAAGTGTTATGTTATCATATAATAGCTAGCATGTTTTGAATAACATGTTTTGAAAGAGAAATGTAGATGTAACTTGCAGCTTTTACATGTGCCAAACTCACCAAGTTAATGACTAAGCTAGGGTAAAGTTATAGTTAGATCACACTAAGGTGGGGTGGACAAAATGGCAGATCCGGCTGATGGCCGGACTCCCATTTCCCAGCAGCCCCTGCCTGCATTACTGCAGCTGGTTTCCATGGAGACTCTGGGAGGGGTGGGGCTGTGATAGCATGGAGCCGGGGCTTCCATGGAGAATGGCCTCACCAGGGTTGGCAGGGTATGCAGCTGGGCTGGGATCTGCTCCGGGGCTGGGATTTTGCAGTGGTAACAGGATGTTCCATAACCAAAGCAGAGCTGCAATCTGCTGCCTACACACCTCTGCCCAGGGCATGCGGGCAGCAGATCATGGTTCTACCTCAGCAACAGACCATGCTGTCAGTGCCACAAAATCCAAGCCCTAGCCCCAGCCCCCAGGCAGCTCCCTGCCCATCCACATGTCCTGCCAGCACTGCTTGGCCTGTCTCCATGGAAACTCCAACCCCGTACTGTCATGTCCACGCCCCTCCTGAGGTCTCCACAGAAACCATTTACAGTGACATGGACAGGGTCTCCTGGGAAATGGAGTCCACTGCAGGCTGAATCTGGTCCATGGGTCAGACTTTTCCTGCTCATGTACTAAGGGCACTTAAAACTTGAGCATCTGCACAGTAAAGTTAACTCTGGGCCATACTACCTAGCTGCTGTTAAAGTAACTTCAGTCGGCTCCACAGAGGTAAAATGAATGATTTGTAATCCTCCAGCATCCCAGGATGCCCTGCTTCCCTCCTCCCCTCCCAGCCCAAAGCAGGGATAGCGTCCAGGTGTCCTGGCTCCTAGCCATGCCTGTTCTCCAGCTCTCTAGTGGCAAGTCAGAACTATGCAGGCAAGAAAAAGTATTAATGTTTAACACGTGACTGCTCACAGACCATTCTAACTTTAACACTGCTTAACATTC